ATCCTGGGCTGGCCTCAAACTCACGGTGCTGCCCAGGATGACCTTGCACTTCTGTCCCTCTGCCTTCACCTCCAAAGGATGGTGGTTCCATGCCTCCTGGGGTGGTAGACATGGACCAACATTCCTGGTTCATGCAGTGTCAACTGAGTTGTGCCCTCAATACGCTATCTTTATGACCACATGGGACCAGAGCTATCAAGACTGATATTCCTATTCGATATACTTTCCTTTTCCACAAAAAGTAAATTATCTATGGCTTTTGGAGATTAGACATGCGCTTCTTTGAGAAGCAATTATTCTACCTACCACAAAATATACCAGGAATGATGACCTGATCTAAAAGTACTTATGAGAATGGATCAATTAATTTTAACCTAAAGTTAAAGTTGTAAAGAGACATTTCAAGAAAAAGTTGGGATAAAGAAATTCAAGACTTAAACACTATCTAATCATAACCTTTCCCTAGTAGAAAGAAGGCCAGCTTTAAAGAATCACTCCTTGTTTGGGTTTTCTTGAAATCTGCATTGCTAACAACAGTCTAACTTCCTGGAAAAACTAAGATGATAAAACACAAGAAAAAAAAATATCTCTATATATATCTATATCTATCACAGTAAATTAGTATAATCAGAAAAACAATTATATATATATATATATATATATATATATATATATATATATAGAGAGAGAGAGAGAGAGAGAGAGAGAGAGAGGGGGGGAGAGAGAGGGAGAGACTGGGGACAGGACTAGAGAGATGGTTCGGAGGTTGAGAACACTTGCTGTTTTCCTTTAGGACCTGTTTGGTTGCCAGTACTCAGATAGGATGGCTTATAAGTGCCTGTAACTTCAGCTCCAGAGAGTCCAATCTGGCTTCTATGGGCACCTGTACTCACATGCACATAGCACACTGCCTCCCCCCACAACCAAATACACACCCATAACCATAATTAAAAATAAAACAAGTCTTTAAAAATTACTCCAGACTAGGGAAATCACTTAAAGCTACCGAATCAGGCTGTCAAGAAGTTTTGGTAGGTAAAGTCTCTGGTTTCAACCCTGATGACTGAAGTCTGATTCCCAGAGCCCTCATGGTAGGAAAGAACCAAGTCCCACAAGTTGTGCTCTGACATGTGGGCTGTAGTGGTACATGTATACATACACAAACTCAACTAATGTAATATTTTTAAAAAGTTAACCAATCACTAATTTATGAAACTTTTAAATTCTGCTTGGATAATAGAATCAGGAAAAAGGACAGAAGAACATAAGAGGTATTTGTCCTAAGCCTTATGCCTTACAAATACCTTCACATTTCACTTGTCATTAGACAAAATCTGGGAACAACTCAATTGGCCATGAATGGTGACTAGATAAATAAAGTGTGGCATAGCCACACAACAGGATACTTCCCACCATAACATGGAAAAAATACTGATGTGAATGACATAGTGAGATCTGAAGATCACTGCACTAAGTAAAAGAAGCCAGAAATAAAACAATATGTAACTGTCATGAAACAGTGTCCCTGAGCTATAGCATAGTCATTGTCATTTTATTCAGATTAGCTGTGGTTACCTGCAGATACTCTCTAACAAGATAACCCTGTAGAAGGCCCTGCCTCAAAAGAGTGAGAGAAGCATCATTAACCCCTCACCTGAGATTACAGCCACTCAGTCCAACCTGCACCTCCCTCCCCACTAAAGATGGCCTTGGGAAGAGAAATAGGGAGGTGACAAGTTGACTAACAGAGGATTCCATATGAAGCTTCTAGGAAGTTGTCATCCATGCTGGAGTGGATCTTTTCAGGGATGTGCTGTCTGGAGATCACTTGTGCTCCTGCAAGTAACTCCTCCCCTATACAACTGTAAGTCAGCCAATTACATTCATTGATTCATCAAGATGAATTTCAACAGAACCACTCCATTAGTCTGCTACTGGTACCTATGTAGAGCAAGTATATGTTTGTTCCCATCTTTGCAGAAAAAGTTAATGTACCAATACCAGGAGCCATTCACACAGAACTCTTAACAATGTAAAACTTCACTATACAAAAACACGTAAATCACTGTTGGCCGGAGAGATGGCTCAGTAGGTAAAGCTGCTTCATGAAAGGAGAAAACATGAGCTACAACATTGTCCTTTGACCTTCATATGTGCATCATGACATAGGCACATGCACTCTCCCACATACGTCATACATACAATATTCAAAACAAAATAAAAATATTTAGAGGTGATTGAGACAGAGCACAACGTTAGAGCACTTGCTGCACTTTCAGAACACTGGAGTTCAGTTCCCAGAACCCCTATCAGATGACTCACAGCTGTAGCTCTAGCTCCAGGGGATCCTTGCCTCGGTGGTAGGCTCCTGCACGCACTTGGCATGTATGCACACAGGCGCACACACATAGAAGCACAAATAAAAACAAAATATTGAAAGTAAATTCATAATTTAAATGTAGATCAGTGGCCACTTGGATCAAAGGGCGTTGGTGGGTGATGGACACGTTCTGCACGTTGACTGCAGAGGAAGAGCATGGGTGAGAACTTGCAAACCCATTGATTACACACCTGTAATCCCAGCACTGGGAAAGCTGAGGCAGAAGAGCTATGAGTCTGAGCTCAGCTTGAGCTACCTATAGAGACGTTGTAAAAAGTTTTAAAAAATTAAAAAACCGAGCTCATTGAATTGTACATTGAAGTGGATACAGTTTCCATATATAATATGCAAATCAATAAAATTGATTTCTTAAAAATTGACTTCTATTCCATAATAAACGTATATTCATGGACATGGTTAGAACATAACCCAAACAATCACTGCAGTGTTGAACTGAAGCCTCTCCACCTTGTCCTAAGCCCCAAAGTTCCTTCAGATGCTTAGACTTACGTGCACATGGCAAACCCACTTCCTGAGTGAGGAGATCTTTTCCTTGACTACAACCCAGGAGTAGATGCCTGCCTTGTGCTGCTTGTCTGTTGAATCCTTAGACTTGGGTGATGATCTGGGATATAAGTTCTAGCCTTGGAGCCCGGACTGATCTCGAGCCAGCTACACAGCCCAGGATTGCTCAGACTTGCAGCCTTCCTGCCTTAGCCCTCTGAATGTCGGGATTGTGGGTGCACATTACCGCTTCTGAGCAGTCTACTGACTTCTATCGGGAAGTACTCGCTTTTTGATCCCTCCAGCAAAACAGCAAGGTCCCAGATATTCTCCATATCACACCAAATAGTCATACTACAGAGACTTTTAGTTACTTTTCTGGCTGCTGTGACAGAATATGTGATAGAAACAATTTAAGGGAGCCAGGGGGCTCCGTCCATTATGGCAGAAAAGCATAGTGGAGCAGATCACATCAAGGCAGACAGGAAGCAGAGAAAAGGAAGAGACTCATGACCACATATAACCCACAAAGCACACCACCAGCTAGACATCAAGGGCTCACTCACTGACCTGTGGGACACATTTCATGTTCAAGCCATTACAACTATTTAATTGTAGATGATACTGTGTTATGACAATGCCACTGCATGACATTTCATGCATGTATAGATTGCTATATCTGTCCTTAGAAGATTTTGTAACAAATTTTCTTCATATTTTAGTATTTTATTTCATTTATTTTAAATCTGTTGGTCAGAAGCAATTCAAAATAAAATTTGCTCACAAAACAATGTTCATATTATTTTTGTTTATTTCATAATTTGGTGGTATATTTTATACCTTTATAAACTTTTAAAACCATTTTATAACTCACACATATACATACATAATATTATATTTTGGAGAGGATAGGGAAGAGAGAGAAAAACCTCACAATATAGTGCTATATGGCCCTAGTTGTCCTGAACCTCACTATGTAGATAGAATTCACCTGCTTCTACTTTTTCAGTGCTGGAATTAAAGCCATGTATCTGTTTCTTGCATAATATACCTTAAGTAGTTATTGCCCTTTACCTGATGTATTTATTCAGTAAGCACTGTATGCAAAGCCATTGTGTACAAAAACCATTCTCTATTGTGACCTCTCCTAATTATGTGCATATTACATAGAAAAATCTCATTTATATATTCTCTACAATTTTTATTGTAGATAAGTCTAGAGCATGTCCCAAACCAACAGTCTAGTTCTGAAAGAAATACCTCCAAAGATGGCTTGATGGTGCTTATCCTTAATGTCTGCCCCAACTGTTAAAGACTCAGAGTATTTTCAAGGAGGATTTCTTTGGTGAAAAGGTCACTCACCACACATTCAGAGAGTGAGGAAGACCTACAGAGTCAACTAACCTGTGCCCATGGTGGCTCACAGAGATTGAACCACCAACCAAAGAGCATGCCTGGACTGGTCCTAGGCCCCTTGCACATATGGAGCAGATGTGCAGCTTGATTTCCATGTGGATGCTCCAACAACTGGAGCAGGAGGCCCTTTCTGACTCTGATGTCTCCCTTTGGATCCCATTCCCCTAACATAGTGTGGAGATAGGACCTAGCCCACACCCTCAGCTTCCATCAGCTTCTCTCTTGGCAAACTGGACCACTCACAGAGAAAGAGACATCTGGCTGGATAAGATATTGTATTTAAAGTGAAAAGTCCCCAAATTCCCCAATGGCTCATCCAGTACCATGGCAGAAACTTCTAGGTGACAAATTCTGACAGGACGGAGGTTGACAAAAGTCATTCACTTCCTGGCTCCAGTGTTGCTTGTTTGGGACCCTGGCTATGTATTTCTCCTTCCCATTTGTAAGGCTTTCTTCTGGGAAGGAAAATAGAGATCCTTCAAAAATATCAAGTAACCATACTAATAATGGGCAGTGGGGACTGGAGTGAGCTATGTAAAAGCACAGATCCAGAATTCCTGAGAAAAATAACTGATAATTTACCCTCAAATAAACACAAATAACCCTAGGCAGATCATGTTTCTCTATGACAGATGCTAGTGAAAGAAAACTGAAGCCTTAGACAAGGAAGAAAGGAAAGGATAAGTCACAGGATTCTTACCTAGACCTCGATTCCGCTGTTCCCACTCAATGGTTTCTGGCACCTGGTAGGTGGCTACCTCTAGTAGATCCATTCCTCCTGTTTCTATGTCAGGTTCTTGGGACGTGATACCAGGGAGAGTAAACCCTGGCAGTTCAGTGTCACCATCAAAGTCCTTATACAAGGAGTCAGCCTCTTTATCTTCCTCATCTTCTTCATCTTCCTCTTCTTCTTCTTCATCGTCTTCATCCTCTTCATCCTCATCATCTTCTACCTCTGGAAAATAGAATTCAAGGGAAAATGTGAAGATAAGAAATGAGGACATAATCAAATACATGAATTGTTTGAGGTGATACAAACACTACAATTATTAAAGTCAACATTGGGCAGTCCAAGCTTTATGAGTTTATGTGTCTTCTACATATCCTGTGTTTTAAACTTTCAGAAACACAGTTATATAAGATAACCCTATGTTATTAGAAATTAAACCTTAGGAATTGTGGTTGTTAGTTTTGCTTGTTTGTTTGTCAACATAACATAAGCTAGAATCATCAGGGGACAATGAACCTCAGTTGAGAAGATCCTTCAATAAGATTGGCCTGTAGGCAGGTCTGTGGAGCAATTTTTTTTATTCATGATTAGTGTGGGAATTACCCCTCCCACTGTATTCTGTGTCAGTCCTGGGCATGTGATCCTAAGTTGTACAAAATATAGACTGAGAAAGCTTTAAGGAGTAAGCCAGTAAATAGCACTCCTTCCCGCCCTCTGTTTCAGGTTCCTGTCTCCAAGTTCCTGTCATAAGTTCCTGCTTTGACTTCTTTCATAGTGAACTGTAAACTAAAACATGAAATGGACTCAGCCTCTTCAAGTTACTCTTGATCCATAATAGAAGATAAACTAAGACAGGAACAATGAATTTTTGTAAACAAATTTATATTTTCAAGGCTAGGAAACATTTCTATTTTCTGGAGCTCATAAAGTGTTTATCTGTTAGAAATTACCCTGACATAACAAAGAATGTAAAAAAAATATTTCTGTCTTTTTATAATATTAAAAAAGAAACATTATTTTTATGGACTTCTCTTTCCATTTCTACACCAGTGCATAGAACTCAGCAGTGTCACATGAGAGGCAGATGAACTTGGATTGCACTTTCTCTGTGGGATAGTAACTTCAAAACCTGGAAATAATTCTCAATCCAGTGCTAAAGAGAGTTATGAAATGGGACACTTATGTATGTTCATCACCCAAGAAAAGACCTCATTAGCACTGTTAAGAGTTCATTTTTACAACTGAGCCTTCTTGGTGCTTCAAGTGGAATGTGCTTAGGGGCCTACAATTCGAATCTAATTTGTTTCACTGATTTTAATTTTCCAGGAATATTCATGTCCCTTCTTCACTATGGGTAAGCCCATAAAGCAGCTGACTGATAACAGAATGCACCCAAGGCTTTCCTTGTATCTCTCCTGAGATGTAAACTCAACAATCACTGTGGCAAGGAACTCTTCTTGAAAGGCAGAGAAGATAACAGAATGCTAAAGCCAACCACAGTCTCTTATTGTAACCTTTCCTGTTTTTGGCAGCTATATACATACTTCTTACCTTTTATCATTTAAAGATTTTCTTGTAAAATATAGTAATTCTTCACTGTTATGCAGCTCAGGGGGCGAGCACATGCCTATTGTGTGCAAGGCCCTGAGCTCAGGTTCTAGAATCACAAAAGAGTTTTTAATTCTTTAGTCCTATATCAGCCTGAATTCTGCAGGCTTTAATGCATGTCACTGTTCTGAAAATACAACAGAATGAACATCTGATGTATACTGCTCCAGGCACAAGAGATACAGTTTTTAATTCCAAGGAACTGATCTGCCCCTCAAGAAAACATAGATACAACAGAGGTACAGAGACTACAATGTGATGAACACTGTCAAGAAGACAGAAAATACCACATTCTGTTATTTCAGATGGTGGGATTGAGTGTAGCTTTTCCTATAATATAAGGGTTGTGGGCCAACATAAGATGTTCTCTTGTGCAATAGGATCAATATTTACAGGGAGAGCATCCCATCAGAGGGACTGCAACACAGTGAGCCGTACACAGGTGTGCACAGGCTGTGTTCAGAGACCAGCAAAGAGGTTGCTGAGGACTAGGGGTCAGGTAAGAGTACACAAAGAATATAGGAAAAGATACAGACTATGAGACTTAAAACTTTTCAAAATGACTCAGGTTTGTAATGACCTCAACTGAGCACAGAGCAAAGGAAACCCGTGAGGAGGCTGTTAAACTTAGGATGGGGATGAGAAATGGTACCTGAATATAGATAGTATGCACATCTGCTGAGAACTGGTGATACAATTTGTAGGTAGACTCTTGCCAATTATATGAGACCCAAGAGGGAAGGAGATTCTCCCATCACCAATGGGAATGCAAAGATAATATGCATAATTACGAAATCTATTTGCGACACATAGTGTGATGGCCATGCCAATGACGTCCACCTGCAGAGGTGGACAGTCCAGGAAAGGCTGAAAGGTGGAACTTATCAACAGAGAGCAACAGAGATTACATCCTCGCTTCTTTTAGTTTGCTATGACTGAGATGAACTAAAATAGTTGATAGTGAAAACTGTCAGTTGGGGATGCACCTCACTTGACAGAGTGCTTGCCTAGCACTCAGGAAGTCCTGGGCTTCACCTCCAGCACCACATAAACCTAGAATGGTAGTACATGCCTGTAATAGCAGCCTTGAGAGATGAAGACAAGAGTTTCAGAAGTTCAAAGTCTTCCTAAGCTACATAGGAGTTAGAAGCAACCATGGGCTACGTAGGGTGGGGGGAGAGAAGAGGGGAAGGAAGGGAAGGAGGGAGAGAGAGAGGGGGGAAAGAAGGAAGGAAGGAAGGAAGGAAGGAAGGAAGGAAGGAAGACTAAAACACTTAGCAGAAATGTCAGATAACAATGCCAGATGGTTGAACAATGCTTGGTGACATTAAGTGATATGTTCAGAGTTGAAATAAAGAAATATCTCATCACAGATGGCCAGGAGAGAGAGAAAAAAATGTGTCTAGACAGCACCCTCTCTAAGCCAATTTCTTCTGTCTGGCCTCTCTTTGATAGAATGTCTTAACAGCAGCTTCATGACCCACAGGGGCCTTTGTTCTTCTGGGAGGTTAAACCTCTGAGGCACTCGAAAGCCTTGATGGCATTGTTAGCCGAACAGGGAAGGAACTCATAGGCTCTGTTTTACTTTCAGGCTGCTCCTTTAACAACTTTGGGTACTCAAATAGAATCTGAGCAGAGATTAAAATGAGTTTGTTCAAAACCAGAACTGCTGTTCCTCTAGGTTACATGCTGTTTTTCTTATTAATTACAAACATACCCTCAGTCTGCGGCCACCGAACATCGAGCTTTAATTTTGCTCAGGATTAGATTGCTACAGATTTCACTGACCATCTCATAGGCAGACTTCAGCAAAGGCGTTGGACCCAGGATTTCTAATGCAGACATTGTTTTTCAAAACACCAATACATAGCGAGCATCTTCAGGCTGTCATTAACACATCCCAGGAGTGAAGAACCCTTGCAGATGTGTCATTCCAATGTGAGCAAAAGTACCAGGACAGGAACCCGTGTCCCCAGCACGTCTTGCCTGCCTGACTGGACAGCTCCTCACTTGTCCCTTATATCTTCTTACAGTGGCTATTTTTCATGTGAATCATCATCTTGGGCCTATTTGATCATTCGTTTTATAAGACAGACTTTTCTTCTCACCGGCTTTTCCCTTCCCCTTTCTAAGTTTAAAACAGGATCTAAGGCAAACAAACATGAAAAAAATGCACATGAAAAAGTAGAAGGCTCCTGTGAGGAAGGGAACTTTGGGGTTGGGTTGTATTGTTCTCTGCTGAAGAATGATAACACCTTTTAAAGGAAGAAATGCTTACTGCCACCCAGGAAGCCTTTGCCAATAAATATTTAAGGTTCAAAAATAAGGGAACAGCAAGACAGCTCAGTGAATAAAACACTTGCCAGCAACCTGATGATCTGTGTTCAGTCCCTGAAACTATGATAAAAGGAGAGAACCACTCCCATAAGTTAATTTCTTAACTCACTCACACACACACACACACACACACACACACACACACACACACACACAC